ATAACATCAAAGATACAAACACTTGCAATAAAGGAAGTTCTCATGATAGAAGACTTATAAGCATATATTTTAATGCAAACATTCTACAATTTGTAGAAAACATGAATGAGTCAAACCTCTATAAATTTAATATAAATAAAAAAATTAACATTATTACTTACAACATCAGAGGCATTAATCATATACTAAAAATGCAAACTTGAATCAAACATTGTGCTGAATCAACTTACATATAATCTTTCTTACTAAAACTAAGCTAAAAAACTTAATAATAAAATTATTAACTAACTCTTTATATAAGATCTTTACCTAAAACTTTGTATTATACAAACTAAACCAACAAGAAGCCAGTTTGGGAACTGTTTTAATAGTTTGCAATCAACTACAACTATATATTTACAAAATCAACACCTTTTAAGGAACAGCTATATGTTTTGATTTCTTTTTTCCTAATGACAACAAATTTTATATCATTTCAATTTACCTTTCTTCAAATCACTTTTCCCTTCTAAAAAAGACCTAATTTCAATTATTTATCTAGATTACAGAAGCTAGGATCAGAAACTAGCATCTAATTATACTAGGTGATTTTAATACTAACCAATTTAGAGACAAACACTTTCTAATATTTACAAATCTAAATACTGCCAACCTAACAAGTTTACTAGTCTTTTATAATATTCAAGCACCAACATAGCATGGCCTAACTTCTGTTAACCAAATTGATGATTTCTGAATCTTGTCAGATATATTATTAGCATTTAAACCTTCATCACTAACTGATGCTTTTTACATCTCAAACAGTGATTATTGCATCCTAAGTACAGCCTGGTACACAAACTTTTCATTTCAAAAAAATTCTAAAAACAAAAAGAAAAAAAAGAAAATATATCTGTTCAAAAAAATGACATCAGAGAACTATAAAAACTTTGAAAATTTACTAAACATCTGTCTTAACCCACAAAATATTCTAATATCAAATATAAACAAAAACAATATAAACAAAATATAGAACTTCTAGGCAGCAAAAATTAAAGAAAAATGAATGAACATATTCTATATACTCTTACTATTCTCAAATTCTTCTTTGCACTTTTGCTAAAAGCAATGAAACTGCATTCTGTTCTTAAAAACATTAACAAATATTTATATTATCTCTTAAATAACACTTTAAATGACTTAACTAGAGTAAACTTTTACCTATAAAAGGCAGCTAATCTTGCAGAAATAGATATTTCATTAATTATATAAGCACAATTAAATCTTCTTTTATCTGATTTTATAATACAGATAAAATAATAAAAGCATACAATATGGCAAGCATAAAACTTTGAAAAAAAACAAGAACAAAGTAAAAGAATTAAGTTTTACACAAACTGAAGATGTTCAGACTTTAAAGATAACACAAGTCATATGCTAGATAGTATCCTTAAAAGAAGAGCAGAACCAGTAAACTTTGAAAAAATTATATTTCTAAACAAGATAATTACTGATAAGAATGAAATTAAAGAAGTCATACATCTACATTACAGAAACTGGACTAAAGAAAATTTATCCAATAATACTATATGAAAGGAATAGGAATCAATATATAATTTACTTAACAACATGTATTTCCCTATTTGAACTCAAATAAACAATAAAAGAAGTCTCTAAATAAAAAGCAACAGGACCACTAGAAATTGCAAATGAGGTTCTCTAGCATCTACCATCATCAGCTCTCTTACTACTACTAGAAATATTCAACAAATGTTTGATACAAAATACATTTCAGACCAGTAGCTACAAGCCAATATTTGTCCAATTCCAAAAAAACAACATTATAATTATAAACTTAACTCCATATGACTAAAAACATTAATTGATCATACTAGAAAAATCTTTACAAATATTCTAACAATTAGACTAACAAACATCCTAGTTCAAAATCAAGCATATTCTTTACAGAATTTTACAGCTTTTCTAATCAATTTATACTACAACCAATCTTTCAATTTACCAAATTTTAGAAGATGCAATTACAAATAAGAAAGAAGTTTGAATTTTCTCACAGGATATGTCAAAAACTTTTGACTTAATTTATATACCCATCTTATGCAAAGCACTTAAAAGAATTTATATACCAGACAATGCTATAAATCTGATATTATATTTGCTTTTACACTGGACTAACAAAGTAATTACAAGTCTAGGCCTAACTGTATCATACTTAGTTGAGGATAGTATTGACCAAGAAGAGACCTTTTTATCTTTCTTTTAGGAAATAGATTATAATTCACTAATCTCAAGAATACACAAAGAACACTTAGAATTTTCTAGTGAAATTTCTAATATACATCCAAAGAAAATAAATGCTTCAGTAATAGCTTACATAGACAATTCATTTTGGATTGCATCTAACAAAACCTCTTTTATAAACATCTTGAATACTGCCTTTTCTTTTTACAAATTTGCTAATATAAAGGTCAACTCTTCAAAGTTAATACTAGTTACAAACTCAACAAATTCAGATAACTTTATATTCTTTGACAAAAAACAACTAATAGTAATTAATAATAAAAAACTATTCAAATATTTGAGAGCATAATTCTCAACTAACAAAAAACCAACATTAGTATAAAAAAAATTAATGACTGAAGTAATAATTAATTTAAAAGTTACAATTTGTTAATATAATAGAAAAATAAATAATTTATATCATAAATAGTATCATTATTTCATGGCTTTTTTATCAACTCTATTCTTTATTTTTTACTTTAGTCTAAACAAACACTCTTAACAAAATGTATATTCAATTAGTTAAACATAAGACAAAACTAGTTCAAGAAATTTCTAATTTCTTTCTTTATAATCCAGACATTTATGCATTAACAAATATAGCTTAAGTATAACTTTTAGTACTAGTTATAACACTCAAAAAAATCTAAATCATTCAGATTTTGATTTCTTCTTTTTGAAACTACATTTATAGTAACTTCAAGATGCTGCATTTACTAATACTTTTATCCTAATACAACCTTCAATTTTTTCAATAACTCAAACAAATACACAAACTGGTCAAATGGTACTAGCATTATATACATTAGGTATGCAAACTTCAAGAGATATTAATGATTGGCTCTACTCAAAAAAATTCACAAACATCTCTATAAATCAAATACTAATACAACATTCTAGAGCCTCCTAGAGCTTCCTACTTTAAAAAAAAAACTAAACAGACATAATATTTATTGTATTAAGTAATTTCTAAATGCCACCAACACAGAACTATCAATATAGAAACAATGTCATCATAATATCAAAAAAATACCAAGAGACCAGTAACCATATTGGTTTTATATAATACAAGACTTAATGGCTACATCTACAAATTTATCTTCAACATATCTATAATACAATCTACATATCTTGGCTAATTGAACCCCTACTAAAAAAGGTTAAATAATTACAAACAACTTAACTTTTAGAAGAATTTACAATTCATTTAATAAGAATCTTAAAACTCAATACTATATATTATTACCTAACAATATATTAGTAGCCTGTAAAGGATGCAAATTGAGCAATACATCTTATTATATCAAACATTGCTATTTCAATGCAACAAAACCTATCTATAACCTCCAAGTAGACTGTAAAAAAAAAATTCATATCAATTTAAAAGACTTTAAAAAGGTCTTAATACTAATTCTACTAACAATAACAAGAACTCATAATTAAACAATGTACCTAATCTTGGCCCATTCCCTATGCTTCTTTATAGACCTACCAATGATACTTTGGAATGATCTTGTAAAAGCTAACTTTAATACAAAAACCACAACAATCTATATAATAAATAGATAACAAAACATTAAAAATATCTCTCGAATAGTAACAAAGTGTTACTTTCAACACTCTCATCTAACTTTTGAATGTTTTAACAACTTCTGACTATCTCATCTGAATATACTAATAATTACATTAAATTTTATACTTATCTCATTAAGTCCCTGCACTTTAATAAATATATATACTAATAACTTCTCTTTAGTTAATCTTATCAACTTTATAAATTCAGTCTAATCATATAATTATCCAATACTAGACAAACAACAATACATCTTTCTTCTTCTAATCCTAAAAGCCTTGACATACAATTATGTACTCACAATGATCTTTGACAAAGATCATCAAATCCAAAAAACCCCAAGCACTATTTTTCTACTAGACTCTGTATTTCAAAAGTTTCTATATAATCAGTTTATTCCAAAGCTTCTAGGAAATTCTTGCACTTATCTGGTAAAAACTATATTAAAACAAGTATATCAAATTACAAACTGTTTGATATGATTCAACCAACAACAAATCTTACTATAACATACTTCTCAAAATAATATTAATTGATTATTAACTTTACAATACATATCATATAAAGAAAAACCTCTAACTTTAACAACTGATCCAACCTCATTAGCAATTAAAATCTTTAAAATCAAACTAATATCTGAAGAACTACCTACTCATCTTCTTCATCATTGAAGAAATGCTACAAAACACCTAAACCATTTCTATGCAAAATGTTATAATATATCAGAAACTATTATACATCTTCTGACATGTCTTAGAAACAATTCAGATCTTGAAATGCTAATAAAATATACATTGATTGAAACTGTGAACAAGTTGCAATTATGCTGTAATAATATGAAAAAATTTATTTAAGCCTTTACTTACAACTATATTAACAAACAAATACCACAGGAATAATAATGAATGACACTTTAACACCATGTGAAAATAACAAGCACAAAATAAATATGCATTTCTTATTCACCACAACATCATTTCAATGATATACAAAAAATCTGACTCACTTCTAGAGCAATTGATTTCTCTCCTAAGAGTGGATCTTTACCCTTTCCAGTACCTGTATCAGAGCCTTCAAGTTCATTTCCACCTGTTCTTCCCTTACTTTCATTTACCAAACATGAAACTAACTCTTGCTTTGTATCTGTTTCCTAGAGTTCCCATTCATAACAAAAATATCTCAACATATCCAGTGACATCCTTACAAAATTTGCTTCAAGGTTTATCTGTTCCCTTGCTGTAAAGTATTTTCCAAATTTGAGGCCATAACTAAGTTTCCTTACACAAACAGGATTCAGTTTAGTTCTGACACATAAACACAGTTACTCAGTTGTTTATGAACACAAAATTTGGATTTCTTATTTATTTAAAGATGCGATATTACAGTTTTCAATAAATGTCTATACGCAAGCTAAAGTTTTGTTTGCACGAAAGAACCAGGCAAGAAAGTCGGGTTTGCAGAAAAAACAAAAGACGGCTTTCTACATACCCACCTATGCCCCTATATATATCTGTCTTGATCTAAACTTAGCTTACCTGCTTCGGATACACAAATATTACACAGCCTTACCAGTATGCCCATATAATCTGGTTGTATCCATGTCGATTCGAGACAAATAGCCACTCCAATACTTCGTATCGTGTGGCTTAAAAATATTACATTAAATCCTAATAATGAATGGTAAGAGTTCGATATTATGATACAGAAAATATAGAGTAACAGGTTGTAATAGGGATGTAAATTTTAGTAAATTTAAATGCTAATGATAGATTTGTAAAATTAATTTTTATAAGACATTCTCCATTTGGCACAAGGATGTGACGAATCATCGGGTGTAGTTAATAAGCATTATTTAATATAATTTATTTAGCTATTGATTACTTGCCATACCGATAATTCGGCACATCCTCATGCCAAATGAAAGAGGAGACCTAATCCTTTACAAGTAAACCATTTTATTAATGAGCATTGTTCTTTTTTCGTGAGGTTATAGGAAAATTGAAAGAATTTTTTCTTTTACAAACCGTACGTACTATCATGATTTCCGTTCTAATTTGCGTTTCCGTATTGTATGCACGTACGTACGTACTCAGGTTATTCTATGCTGGTAATTCATGATAAACATTCACTAATTTATAATTTTCTTGTATATTACATACTCCAAACACTATAAAACCATTGTTACAGATTTCATTTTCCTATTTTAAAATTTTGAACTACAAATAAGATTTTTCAAACTCTCATTTAATTCCAAAATACGCCACTCATTTGTTCTATATAATGAATTTATGTTCTCACATAAGTATAACATAAAATGTAACCTAAAATTTTTGTGTTTCATAGAACATTGAGAACATTGAATTTCACTCACTGTTAGGGATGGGTTGGGTCACGAACGGTCACAATCATTCATAGTCAATTTGCTAAATACTGAGATGATTTTTTACTTTTGAGCTTTTAATTA